CATCAGCTAGCATCGATGAGCAGGTTCTGAGTGCTCGTCCAGGGATGTTGTCTGGCCCAGCTGTTTTCCATGGGTTTATTTTCCCAAAAGTCTTTGCCAGATCTGCAGATGAGATTGTGAATGGTGGTTTGCTCACACTAACCAGCTTACTCCCCAGTGGCTCGGTGTTGAGGGCCTCAAAGCAAGCATAGAATTCATTGAGCATGGAGCAAACTTCATAGTTTATCTACAGCTTTTGGTTGGGGTATGTCCAGATCCATTTAGAGGGATTTAGAGCACCTGATCAGATTCTTCAGTCCACACTTTCACAGTTTTAATTACTGGGAGAACACTGAAAAGTGGTCAGACTGTCTGAAGTGGGGGTGGGGTGCAGCCTTGTATGCACCCTTCATGTTACTGTACACCTGATCCAGTATGTTTCTCTCCTTCGTAGGGAAACTCACATGCTGGTGGTATGTTGGAAGCACATTCCATAAATTGCAGTTCATTGCAACAATGAACACGGTGTCTGTATGTGTAGTTTCTTGTGCGTTTATAGTGCCATACAGAATCGTAAGCACCGCTGCGGAGTTTGCATGTGGCAGGATGTAAACGGCCAGGAGAAATACAGCAGTAAACTCCCTTGGCAGATAAAAGGGCCTTCATCTCACTAATAAAAGTTCTGTGTCACTTAAGCAGAGTTTACTTACGATCTGCACATCTGAGCACCACGGTTGTTGATGTAGATACAGGTTCTCCCACCTTTGTGTTTTCCAGATGCCAAAGCAACAATTAAGAGATGATAAACAGGGAAACGGGGGAAACAGGGAGTTGTTTGCCATTACATTAGCATTTGAAGAGTGGCTAAACTAGCTGGTGGAAGCTCAGCATCACTTCCCAGTGCTCATGCATCACTGCACAGACACTAAGGTTGATACGCGCTTCAATTTACAGGTCAATTTACAGGTCAAGAGCTTCAGTTAATGTTCACATCAAACATCAGAATGGGTCAAAAGTGTGATCTCTGTGACTTTAACCATGGCACCATTTGGTACCAAATGGGCTGGTTTGGGTATTTTAGATACTGCTGATCTCCGGGGATTTTCCACGAACAACAGTCTCTATAATTTACGTAGAAAGGTGCAAAAAATGGCCAGATTGGTTCGAGCTCCCAGGAAGGATATAGTTGTTGTTGTTCCTCTTTCGGCTGTTCCCATTAGGGGTTGCCACAGCAGATCATTGGTCTGCGTATTTGATTTGGCACAGTTTTTATGCCAGATGCCCTCCAGGAAGGATAACTCACATAATTACTCTTACAACCGTGGTGAGCAGAAAAGCATCTTAGCTTGCACGAAACATGGAACCTTGAGGTGGATGGGTTCTAACAGCAGAAGACCACATTAAGCTCTACTCCTGTCAGCCAAGGACAGGAATCTGAGGGTATTATAAAAAAAAAAATCACCTGGTCTTTTTCCAGTCTTCAAGTGTACAAGTTTTACATTTGTGTGTAAGACCCACAAGAAAATTGCTATTTATCAAATGTGCATATGCATGGTTCACACACAAAACGATAAATGAGGCTCCAGGTCTGTTCTAGAATGATATCTCTAATATATATTGTGCATGTACACAAGATAAATGACAGACACTTGACCAGGGCTGGATTTGTCTGTCTTGCCTGTTTTGGGGGCCCTAAGCAATAACTTCATCAGGGCCAAACCTTAGCTAATATAATTTAGACATAACTCTGAGCCAAGTTGAATTTAGCTAAAAAGTTAGTTAAAACATACCTGCATCACTTTCAGTTGGTTTTAACACAAAATATAAGGCCCCAAAATATTTCCTAATAGCAACTCAACAATGATTCTTATGTCACCTGCTCTTGTAACAACTCCCAGAATTCCATGGCACAACCAAACACCCGCATTGAACTCCATTTCCCAGCAGTACAACCCATTAAAAACTCCATTTCCCAGCAGTACAACCCATTAAAAACTCCATTTGCCAGCAGTACAACCCACTAAAAACTCCTCACATGGTCCTACTTCCCAACTTAGTTCACCTGATTACTAACTCAGCACACCTGTTTCTAATCACACACTCCCTATAAATACTGAACTTTTTCTTAAACTCAGGGCAAAGTCTTGCTCTTATCTTAATTCTAAAAGTGATTCTAAGCCTTTTGTCTCTGATCACTGTTCTGTATTGACCTTGTTCATTTTTGCATATTTTAGTTTCTGGTTTTGCCTTTCAGTTCTGTCTGTTTGCTGATCACCTGACATTTTGCATGTCTTTGACTACATTTTTTTATTTGCCCTTTGCTGTTTTACCATTACCATTCCTCATTCCTGACAATTGCCATTAGGCTACTGTCAGAGCAATGCCAGAATCAGCATTGAACTTCAACTCCCAGAATACAGCATGGCCTCATCGACTGGGAGGGCTACGGCCCCGAGGAGAGATGCTGGGTCCCAGCCCGTGACGTGCTTGACCCACTTCTGTGCCAAGAATTCCAGGCATGCCACCCCAACCGCCAAGTTCCACGTCCTAGGGGGAGGCCTAGGAAGAATCCTGCTTCCGGAGGTAGCGCTTCGTAGGAGGGGAGCAGGTGGGGGCTTGTTGTGGCAACACTGGAATCGGTGTCGAACTCCAATTATATGTACTTGAACTAACTTCAAAGAAAACTTTGATTTATTAATTTTATTGGTGTTTAAATTGTAGCAGAAATAGAAATGAATCACCATTTTTGCAAATTGTAAAATGCTATTACTCTAGCTTTCTACAATAAAAATAAATGAAAGTCATGTCATGAGTACTGTAGCTTCTATAGTTAATTTAGTGCTGTAGTTTCTATAGTAAATATATTACAGTTTGCAGAGAACAGTTTGATTTCTTAGTTTTATGGAAATATAAAATTGTATTGTAAATGAACATATGGAACAGAATTATTGATCAGTAGTGAAATTTGTAAGCACCTGATGTCCTCTTCATTAATCTTTGGAAGTTTGTGTGTTTTAATGTGATTGAATAAACATTTAATATGAATTAATTTTAGTTCCTCACAAAGGGGCCACCGTAAAAAGTAATGCTTACACGCCAGCATAACCTGCAGATTAAATTGCGTGACTGAGCTTTTCTCGAGTGCAAATGGCAAGACCGCAGTCCATTAGGCTACTTAGCATGGTGAAGGTTTGAAATAAAAAAGAAAAACATTTCGTCAATGGCTTGAATGAATTTGAGTTTGAAACCTCTGGCTTGGCTGTATATGGCCAAAAAAGGCAAGAACATTAATAATAACAATAATCAGAATAAAATATTAACAATAAATAAAATAACATTTACAAGTCTACAGGATAGTACTTTGCTCCAGGAACATTTTCCCAATGTCCTCATGGATGGCTCTGCAGAAATGAAAAGTAAAATCAAATTTAGACAAAATATACAGCAGGGAGCCTGGTCCCTGGAGGACTAGTGGTTAGGCCACAGCACTTGCACCGCTGCTGCCCGGGTTTGACTCTCAGCCAGGGAACCAACCCCACATGCAACAATGGGCTCTCAGTGCTGGTACCAAGCCCGGATAAAATTGGGGAGGGTTGTGTCAGGAAGGGCATCCGGTGTAAAAACTGTGCCAAATCAAATACGTGGACCAATGATCCGCAGTGGCAACCACTAACGCGAGCAGTCGAAAGAAGAACAACAACATACAGCAGGGAGCCTGCAGTTCTTCCTTATGAATTATACAAATTCATTCTTTATTCTTTAAATACAAATATATTTTATTGCCAAGCTCAGGGCTATTTCTTCCTATAAGCAGTACAAGCAGTCACTTAGGGCTTCTAGATCACCAGCGGGCCCCATGAGTTTTAAAATAGATATACAAAATGGCATACTTCATTATCAATGGGAGAAAGTGTTTGTTATTAAGCAGTCGCAGGGGGCCCCTTGAGGTGTGAAATAGAGCCATGCTTGCCAGGCTAAGTAGCCTAACGGTCATTGTCAGGAACGAGGCTAGTGTTGGATGCAAATGCACGTTTTACTGATGAACACAAAACAGTAGTGATGTAATGGTAACAATGAAGCTTCAGAGCTTGTGTGTTGAAAAAAATGCGAAGCAATGTTTTCCAAAGCAGTGTGCCGATGCTTGAATCGCTTTGCCGAAATCACATGATCATTGATGTCCAAAGCTTCATTTGGGACATCCACTCACGTAATGTAGTTCAAAAGTGGTTCAGTTGAAGGTGCATTGGGAAATTCGGTCAGTCTTAAATGGCTGCAAATTTGGCTGAATTAAAGGTGCCACTCATAGAGGAATGGGGCATCCAAGGGGAAGGTGAGATACTTAGTGACTGATGCAGCTCCCAACATGATTGCCTGTTTGAACAGTCCGAAACTCCAACATGCAACTTGTACTGCCCACACGTTTAGTCTTGTGGTCAAAAAGGCTGACGACTAAACCCCCGGCTTTGATGCAGTCAGAACAAACGTAAGAAAGCTTGTTGGATATTTTAAGAGCAGCACATCTGTTAAAGAAAGTAACTCCATTCTCAAAAAAGTAACTAAACTCTGTCAGGTTCAGGAACAGGCAACTATTAAGCAAGTAACAGAAGAACTTTCAGAAGACAAGAGGGTGTCTTACTCAAAGGTCATACCACTAATTAGAATGCTAAAATAATTCTCTTAATGTTAAATTGTCAAAATTGACAAATGATAAGGCTGTAAATCTTGCTCTTACTAAACTACTGTCAGGTTTGCGAGGCAAAGAGTATTATAACCATTTCAACCCTCCTGGACTCAAGGTACAAAAAAAATGGTTTCTGCAGCCAGGCAAATGCACAGGCAGATGTAAAAAAGACTTACAGCAGAATGTGCTGGAGTCATAGCAGGATCTGGGGCCACTCCACATCATCCTCAACATCATCCTCACTTCAGCCACCTCAAGCAATCTTCCAACCTGCATGTACTACAACAACTTCTGGTAATTTCCTTTTTTGTTGATTTTGCTTGTTATAGATATTGTTCGTCGTCAAATAAAAACTGTTTATTAAACAGTTGTGTATATTCATTAACAGCCAGCTCACTGTCAACTTTTTTAGGTGAAAATCTTTGGGACTTACTTGACAGCCATGTTGTGGAAGTGAGGCATGTGAGAAATGCCACTGCAGATGCCACAGTGGAAGTTCAACAGTACCTTAGTGATCCAAATATTTCTAGATCAGAGGATCCTTTGCATCTCTGGGCTACACAAAAATGTGTGTATCCATCTTTGTCCACTGGCACTCCAAATTCTGTGTAATCCAGCCTCCTCTGTGTCTTGCGACCATGTTTTTTTTCTAAGGCAGGAGAAACTGTAAATAAAAGAAAGAATCATCTTGGTCGTAGAACAGTTGAATAAATATTGTTTCTCAATAAAAATCTTTAAAAAATTTTTTGTCTCAATTGTTCATTAAACTATTTCATTCAATAAAAAGAAATTATTAATTAATTCCTGCATATAAAATAATATGATTGGCATAAGTTGTCAAAGTTGTCGTTAAGGGCCCCCAAATGTTCAGAAATGGCCCTGATCCTTTTTGTTTTATTATTATTATTATTATTATTTATTTAACATAATCTTTCGATCAACACGAATAACCTAGTCTCTGAAATTAGAATAGGACATTTTAAGGGAAAAGGAAGGGCTAACAGAAACTATTTAAATATATGCAATATTAGGTGATACCAGTTATTATACTGATTAAAGGTTGTTATTTTTTTAATGAACGTATTATATTCTTTTATGGGTATCCGTAGGTCACATGGACGGGTCATTTATAAGGCGTGAGTGAACGATGAGGTAGTCAGTTTTGTAAGGGGCAGTTCAAGATGGCGGCTTGCTAAGACGTGTTTTTCGAAGCTCCGCAAAAAAGTTGATTAAAACTGCTTACAACAGCTACCAAGTGCTTCAGTTTGTCCGATAATAGGCTATAATAATTTCAGACCGTGAAAAGAGGAATGATCGTGTCGTTGACTCTGGCACTGTTGTTTGTGAAATACATTCTTACAGTAAATCCTCGGATTCCAAGCAGCCTCAGGACGAGGAGAATTTCTCGTTGGTGCCCCTACCTGAAATCGGATGACTCTAATGACTCTAATGATCATCTCACAGCTATAAACACTTATTAACATTATTAAAAGCTGGTGAGTGCTAATACACTAAAGATAGAAGGTCTTTAAAAAAGACTATTGACTTTGTCTCTGGAGAAATAAAAGACATCAAGTCAAGTGTTAATGATGTTGATTTGATTTATGATTGCTGGGCTTAGTCGAGAAAGAGAATGAAGAGGTCAGAGCTGAAATTCTTCATATCTGTGGCCTAATTTACCCAGAAGGAAAGAAAAAACTGCCTGATACAGTTGGTATAGTTCACGGGTTGGGGAAAAGAGAGCGTAATAAAGCTAAGCCTCGTGTTGTCATGTCATCATGCATTTCTCGTCATGTGCAAGAGATGCCATGCGGAAGGCAGCTAAGGGGTCCGAGCTTCTGAAGGAAAACAGCTTGCGTTTCACGGAGGATTTCACTCCAGCTCACAGAGAAAAGAGACGACTTCTCTGGCCAGCAGTTAAGGAGGCGCCCCGCGCCGCGGGGAATCCGGCATATTACATTGGTGCCCATGCCTTTGTTGACGGCATGGAAGTTGTCCTGCCACCTGTGAGACAGACTTCTTTCTCAGTGCATTCCATCCCATTTCTGGGACAGTTTAAGGCTATCTGCATTAATGAAGCCTGTTAAAATGTTTTTTTTACATTTGAAGATTTACTCACTAAACCTTGTATAGCCTTTATTTACCTCTCAGTTCACTGTTACAAGGTTGTCAAGGTTTTTTTTTTTTTTTGCAGAGCTTTGCTTCAAATCAAGGTTCACATCTTTATTTCTTATTACTGTATTTCACTGTAATATTTGTTCATATCTTAAATTTCTGTTAAGGTCAGGGGCTTAAGAAATGTTTTAAAATGCAAAGCAGTTTTTTTGTTTATCAGAAGATTCAAAACTGATTTCTGTTTTTTTTTTTTTTAACAAAAGTCTCACTTGACCTATGATGAAAGATATATAGGCAGCTCATGAGTGTGAAAATACAGCTGGTGTTACTATACTGAAAGACAGTTTTGCTGGAGAAATCATTAGCTCTTATAATGATGCACAGGGTCACTTTATTTTAATGGTTTGATGTAATAGGAGAAACACTATTGTTTTATTTTACCGAACATCCCGATTCTCATTTAGTTGTGGGACGGGATTTCAATTTAGTGTTGGATAACAACTTGGACAGGCTTCCGTCGAAGAAAAGTAAACCACAGAACGCTGTGCTTTTAGAGCGTTATGTGGTTTCTGGCTACCCCTGAGTCTATTTGGAATTTTATTACAAACCACATTTTTTTCTTAATTAGGAGGTTTCCCATTATTACTTCTGTCCAGTTACAACACTGATAAATTACCCTTGAAATTGGCAAAGTTTCACAGACAGATGTTATTAGCTTGGTCTCTTATCTTCAAACACAACTTCTCTCCACACACGTGTCTCATCTGGAATAACCGTGACATATTATTCAAAAACAAATCTTTATTTATTTATTTATTTTTATAAATGGTTCAACAACAACTTTATCTGGGTGAAATAGTTAATCAATTCTGATGATTTCCTTATGACCTATAGGGAGTTTTTTTCCTCTTATGCAATCCCTGTTACTCCTAGAGAATTTGCTATTGTAATGGATGCGATTCCCAAGGCTGTCATTATGCTGTGTAAAGGAGTAGCTGAAGATTTGCAACCCTGTACCTGGGACCTGAATGATACTAGAGCAGGGAAGATTTGCTTTTTATCCAGTCCATTAGCCCATAACAGAACAATTAGATCTTTGTTTCAAGAAAACATAGTCACTATACCTAACGCCATTTCCTATTGGGGACGGCTTGTTCCAAATATTTTGTGGAGAAAAGTTTGGTCTTTGTCATTGAAATATGTTATTTCTAATAAATCTAGAGATGTCTGTTATAAATTGCTACATAGATGTTACCCAGCCAAACACTATTTACAGCAGTTAAAGAAAACTACTGAGACAAACTGCTCTGTAATACCCATGTTGAAAAACTGGAACTACCCTTTTGTTACTGCGTTTTGGAAAGATTTGTCTGATTTATATGCACAAATATACGTAAAAACATTTCTCTTTTATTTAAAGATGTATTGTTTGGATTTTAGAATGTCTGTCACTCTAAACAGAAAGAATACTACCTTATAAATCTTCTCATAATTCTGGCAAAATCTCACATACATAAAAGTAAATATGGTAATAGAACACTTATGTTTATTACGTTTATTATTAGTTCATTATTTATCTTTTTATGTTCTGACTTTTTATGTTGTGTACTGGCCCACTGTACTGTACTACACATTCAAACTACTAAAGCAAAAAAAAAAAGAAAAAAAAGAGGTAATCAGTTTTGTAAGGCAAAACTGTGTGTCCTGAAATTTATTATAAATCACCACAAGAC